CAAATTGTGTTAATTAAATATAAGTGTTGCAGTGCTCGCGTAGCCAAAGAGGACTGTCCCGTATAATAAAGGACGGATGGTCACCGTATTTATAACTCTTTTTACAATTGCAGGTATATTGAATTTATATAGGATGAAGCGTGTCCTCCCAGCAAACCCTACGGGAATCTGAGTGCTACGAATTGGGAGCTATTTGGCAGAAATCTTCACTTCACTCTTTCCGATGCACCGAGTAGTAACTTGGAGATCTCCGGGAATGCGTTGGTGCTCGTATTGGCATAATTTTTGTTTATTTTTAACCGACTTCACAAAAAGGAGAAGGTCAGCAATTCGCCGGAATATTTTTTTAAGTGGAACTTCTTTAGCGGCGGTTGGTTGGTTGGGAGTAAATTGGCAAATTCAACGGAAATTGCACACGGAAATGGTGCAACGGAAATGGTGCAACGAAAATGATGCAACGGAAATTGCGCACGGAAATGGTTGGGAGGGAAACAAGTGTTCTTAAACGTGCTAAAAACAGATTGAAAAATAAGACTTAGATAAGGACCAATACAAGAATGAAAGTAAAGGCGAGTACGTACATAGACACAGAAAAGGATAAGGGCGAAAGTAAAAATAAAAACAAAAATGCGTATAGAAAAAGGCAAAACTGAAGACCTAGGTAAAATTAAACACTTCACTTATGTAAGGGCGGAAGTGAAGGTGTAGATGAAGAAACTAATAAACATAAAGGCAAAAATAAATGTAAATATTAGAAAAGCTGGGGATTAGGAAACCGATAAAAGTTAGAATAAAGATAGGGGAAGAAAGATTTATACAAAGGTAATTATAAAGAAAAGGATATGTGTAGATATGTAAATACACAGAGACTCAATCTGGGAACTGTTTCATGATATTAGAGATTTTCGGTATTCTCGGAACTTATCGATATAAAAGTTGGTATGTTTTATTGATTTTATTGTCGATATTTCTATCGATTTTGTTATCGATATTTATCGATTTTGTTATCGATACTTTTATCGATATCCCTATTGATTTTGTTATCGACATTTCGATCGATCTTGGTATCGATTTTGTTATCGATATTCTTATCGAATTTGTTATCTATATTTTAAGATTTTGTTATCTCCTTTTTGGTTGTTTTGCTATAGATATTTATCGATACTTTTTCGATTTTGTTATCGATATTTTTATTGATTTTGTTATCGATATTTTTATCGACTTTTTTGTCGATTTTATTATTGATTTTTTTATAGATATTTATCGATTTTGTCGTCGATATTTTTTAGATGTTGTTTATCGATTTCGTTATCGATATAGATATATTTTTATTGATATTTTTCGATTTTGTTGTCGATATCTATCGAGTTTGTTATCGATATTTATTGATTTTGTTATCAATATTTATCGATTTTGTTATCGATGTTTTTATCGGTTATGTTATCAATATTTTTATGGATGTGAATATCCATTTTTTATCCATAGAGTATAAAGGTAAAAATAAAGATAAAAGAAAACAGAATAACATTAATGTAATAAGAACAAACAGGGTAGAGGTAGGGATCTAGATAGAACAAGTAAGAAAGTCTAAGTTCGGGTGGAGCCGAACATTAAATACCCGGCGCAAGTATTAAATATATGTTTTTTCACCTTTCCGAAACCTGCCGCCAGATGGTAAGCCGGGGTGTATCAATTTTGAGTAAATTAGCGTCCCTAAATTTCGAAATATTGCAGTTTCAAGCATTTCTGAAATTTACCGTTATATGAAAAGCGGCCGTTATTTTAGTCCGATTTCAATAATTTTCAACGTTTTGCTTTTACGTGGCAAGCACAATAAAAATATCGAGTTTGGTACAAATTGGTAGAACGGTTACCGATATACATATATGTGATCATAAGTGGGTCCATCTTTGAGGCCCAAATATCAACTAAAAAATATGAGCCAGTCAACGTCTAGAAGACTGCTCCTCGACGCCATTCCGGACAGATGCTTCTATCCGCGCTTGAGGTGGCTATGTCGAACAGTGGCTTTCCCTCTTTAAAATGAGGTTCCAACCATAGAGTTTTATAAAATATTAGATATGTGATATGATAATAAAAATGTTGACACATTTTTTTTTTCAAAATATATTCGCATATACACAATGCTCTTCTCATGCTCATTAGCCTATTTGTATAAGTAAAAAAAAATTATTCCTTCAATAGTCAGTTTGAGCCTTAAAACTGCACAGAAATCAGGTGACCCAAAAATTCTTTACTTAACATGACTTCGTCAAAATGGTTTCATCTAAATTTATTTTTAGTCAAAATTTTATTTTAACAATCCATAAGCGTTAGCATATTTTAGACTTTTATCTAAATTTGTTTTTAGTCAAAATTTTATTTTAACAATCCATAAGCGTTAGCATAATTTAGACTTTTGAAGATATAAATATTTTTTCTTTTTAAACTGTACAATTAATAAATATCCAGCATCCATCAACAATCTATATAAATTTATAATTACATTATTCTTTATCTATAAAAATATTTCTTCATCGGCGACGCCACATAAAAAACCACCAACCAACCCATAACCAATGCTACTGGCAAAGGCACTACCTCTGTGCGAGCAGCTGCATTATAGTAGCCACCTGTCACTTGCAGATTCGCCGTCTCAATGCTGCGCTTGCAATAGTCACCATCATAGTTCCAGCCTACGAATTCATTTGTGCGCAATGATTCAAGTCGCAGCCACTCCTCTAGCGGCGCGAAGTACTCACGCAGCGCTGTACCATCCAAACGACCCTCACCAAGTGTTTCCTCGAGCACTTCTTGCCATGGTTGTGAGGCGCCCTTGGCCATGATGCGTCTGTAACACGGAAAAAAAAAATGTTACGGAATTTGGCACAAAAGAAAAAATAAAAATATGCACTTCTTCTCCACCAACCGTCCTTTCAAGAGGGACATTTTTTATAATTTTATTTCCACGAAACTATCAGATCTATGTGTAAGCAATTTATTTCTTGTCCACGCATTAAGGATCTCTTCAAGTAACGGGTGATTTTTTAAGAGCTTGATAACTTTTTTTTTAAAAAAAACGCATAAAATTTGCAAAATCTCATCGGTTCTTTATTTGAAACGTTAGATTGGTCCATGACATTTACTTTTTGAAGATAATTTCATTTAAATGTTGANTACTGCGTTGGCGCAAAAGTAAAATTTTCAACTGCGGAACAAATTTTCGCAAATCATGAAGTACTTTAAAATTTTGAATTTAGTTTTCGTACGAATTCTGAGGTTGGTGTGTGGCGAACAAATTTTTGCAAATATTTTCATACTAATTTCCACTTACTTTAATAAATTTCCTGCTTCCGGATGTCGATAAATATCGCATCGATGCAACGGCTTGCGTGGATCTCCAGGCACATATTGACCACTGACGCGGCACATGCCACGATAAATTTGAAATTGCAAAATAGTGGAGACATAGTATCTGGAAGTAGATCAAAAAAAGTGAAATTGTTACTAAAATTTTTAGCTACTAGTAATTATTATTATTAGTAGTAGCTATTAGTAACTACTGAATGAAAATTGAGAAAGGAAAATGTTGGCAGTAGCTGCGAATAAATAAACAAGCCAAAATGTATGCACCATACGCTTAGCGGTGCATTTAGTCAACAGTTTTTTTTTTTGCATCCAGCAACTTCTCAAATAGCGCAAGGAATTCAAAATTCGGCAAAAACCAAAAACTGCTGCTGAAAATCTCCTAAAAATCACAAAAAGTATTATAGTATATCAGTAAGCTAAATTTCTCTTTTTTTCTTTTTTGATAAAGTTTTTGTTTTTAATTTTTAAGGTTTTAGACATATAAACTTTTTAATGTCATTCGGTTTTCATAAACTTATTTTATGCATATTTTCTTTTTAAGTTTAGTTTTCGTTTAATTATTAGATGTTCTTTAAAAAAACAAAATACACTTTTTTATTTCATTTAACTTTACGGAAGTTATTTAATTTTTTTCTTTTATAACTCAATTTATTTAAGTTTATTTTTCTTTTAATTTTTAGATTTTATTGTTTAAGATTTAAAAAATGAAAAATAAATTTTATTTGATTGTTAGAAACTTATTTTATTTACTTATTTTCAATTTTTAGATTTTATTTTTCTCCAAGCGAAAATATGTTTTCATTTCATTTAATTTTTAGAACTTTCTTTAAATTTTTTGTGTTTTTATACCCGAGCGCACTTGTGCACAAGGGTATTATAACTTTGTTCACATAACGGTTGTTTGTAACAGGCAAAACGAATCGAGATAGATATAGACAAATGTATACATAAATGATCAGAATGAAAA